TCCTCCTCCTCTACAATTACTTAATATGAATACCACTCTCCCTCTTCCCCCGAAGGCGGCCTGAAAGGATTAGACCCCCCCGCGTACTGTTTTTTACACACAAGATTCCCGGGAATTGAGTTTTCGCCTGCGTTCATTTTCAAAATGCTGCTCTCGCTGAGGCGCCGGCCTCATTTCTGCTCCCGAATCGTTCCGAATCGTGCTCCCGCTGCAGCGTGGGCCTCATTTTCGGATCGGTGTTTTGCCCCCGTCGTCCACAGCACACGCGCACACGCACACGCACACACACACACACCACCACCACCACCACCACCACCACCAACCACCACCACACCACCACCACCACCACCACCACCTATCCACCACCAACAACAACAACAACAACAACAACAATACAGCACCAGCACCAGCACCAGCACCAGCACCAGCACCAGCACCAGCACCAGCACCAGCACCGGCACCAGCACCAGCACCAACACCACCACCAGCACCAGCACCAGCACCAGCACCAGCACCAGCACCAGCACCAGCACCAGCACCAGCACCAGCACCAGCACCACAACAACCACGCACACACGCACGCACGCACGCACGCACGTGCACCACCACCCACTACGCACGCGCGCGCGGAGCCACAGGTCCGCTACGACACGCGTCCGCGGATAGAGAAAATCAGCGCCATGGTAAGGGATGGGAGGGAGGGGTAGGACGTCAGATATGACGCGAGCGCACCTAGCTTGTCCTCCTCCCCTCTCCCCCCTCCTCCCATCCCCCCTCCCCCTCCAATCATCCTTCTCCTACCTCCCTCTTCCTCCTCGTCTCGTCCTCGTCTCCTCCCTACCTTCTCCTCCTCCCCTCCTTCCTTCCTCCCCCTCCCCCCTCCCCCTCCTCCTTCTCCTCCTCTCCTCCTGCTTTCTCTCTCCTCCTCCTCCTCCTCCTCCTCCTCCTCCTCCAACTCCCCTCCACGCATGCCGACAGCACGTGCCCAACCACCCCAGCGGACTCAAGGGGGGGGCATGATTGCCCCATCCAGAGTCGCCTGTGTCGCCCAGCTCCGCGCATCGCGCCCCTGCGACGCGCGGTAATCCCCGCGCCCTCGCGCCAGCCTGCTGGAGAGGGGCGCCTCCCCAACCCAGGCCCTGGCGCGCGAAGCGTGACTACCTTCGCGGCCCCCAGGTGCCGCCCAGGCACCGACAACTGGAGCACCGAAGGGAAAGGGCCCTCGGATTAGGCTGCTCCCGTCGTGCTTGAGGACCACATCCCAGAAACAAGAGCACCCAGAAAAGTATCGAAGCAGCGTCGAGCGAGTGTCGCCTCCCGGGGCCCGACGCGTGAAAACCACCCCGTTTCGGTACTTTACTGGTGCTCGAAATTCTTTCTGGTGATGAAGGCTGAAAAAGGAGCATCATAAGGCTACCTTCGCGCCCCTGGAGCGCCACCCAGGCACTGACAACAGGAGCACCGACGGGAGAAGGTGGTGGTCTGCGAGGGGCATCCTGCGGAGGCTTCCGTGATCCCCGGAGGCCCAGAATTTCCAGAGGCCTCCGAAGCCCCTCGGGTGCGCTCGGAGGCCCTCCGGAGGCCTCCGAGGGCCCGGCCCAGCACTGACCCTGGCACGGTGGTGGTCGGACTTGATTGGACAGGAAACGCGAGAGGACACAGGACCCTTCCGAAGGCCACGTTGCCACAGAAATGCAGGACGCATGGGTCGCAAGACACGGGACACGAGGGTCCCCTTGATCTGGCAGGGTCGACCTACTAATCCGGGCCGCCTGTAGATGCCTTCTGCAGGTGACTGCACCCACCACAGGAGCAACGAAGAAAAGGGGCCTCATACACAGGAGGTCTCACGCGCGAGGACATGCGAGGACACAGCAGTCTCCTGCCATGGCGTGCGCAGGCCGCCTGGAAGAGGAGGGGGCCTGCGCGTGATCTTGCGAAGGGTAGTTCGTACGCGAGTGGCCGCGCTATCAACCCCTTTGTTTGGCGTTGACAGATAGTGCCGAATATCGGCTCCTTATCCACGCAAGAAGTCCTCCTCCTCCTCCTCCTGCCTCCTCCTCCTCCTCCTCCTCCTCCTCCTCCTCCTCCTCCTCCCTGGGCAATCCCACCAGCCCTCTGGGCGCAGGTGGCACAAAACGTTTTCTCTTCCGCCCGCCTTCTCCCTCTTCGGGCAAGGTTTTGTTTTACACTGCTCCTCTTCGAGGAAGCGCAAGCATGGCTCTTTGGCGATTCATGGCCGTGGTTTGTGGGCCCCCCTTTCCTGCCCCGGGCAGATGTATAAACATACCTCAGGACCAGTAGACAACGAATATGGCCCCTGGGAAACTCATGCCTTTCCTCCTCCTCTCTTCTCACTTCCCTCCCTTCCCCCCTCCCTCAACCTCCTCCTCCTCCTCCTCCTCCTGATCCTTCCTCTTCCTCCGTCCTACTCCTACCTCATCCTCTTACTCCTCCTCTTACTCCTCCTCCTCCTCCTCCTCCTCCTCCTACTCCCTTCCCTCCCTTCATCCTTCTTCCTCCCTCTGACTTCCGCCTCGGACTCTGTTCCTTACACCGGGTACTTCCTCTAGCGACTTCCTCACAGGTTGTGAGGATTCTTGAGACACTTCCATCAACTACTCGAACGGACGGCGGCAAATTTCCACCATTCCAACATGTGGCCCTCGTCTTAGCACCGCGCGCATTCGCCTTAAAAGCTTCCAGCGATTACACGGACGGATGAAAAAGGCCGCTCTCAAAAGATTGCCCTTGCCGTGGTACTGGTCACATTCGTCTTACAAAATCCCTGCCGTTGCACCGGTGAAGGTGAGGTCGGCCTCAGACGTGTGCCTTAACATATCGCACAAGCGCTGCGCACATTCATCTCCAACGTTTCAGATGGATAGCAGTCATTTCCAACACGGAGCTCACGCTGGAGACTCATCCTAATCTCGTGATCCTGCGAAATCCGGCAGTGTACAACGGAGGTGCGGATGGAACGCGGTTCATTTTCGCCATAATGCTCCCGCTGGGGATTTCCTCAGACTGTATGATCAGACGTATCATGTGTAGCAGCTGACTATACGAAGGGAGGCGGGCCATCTCCAACGTTCGGCTTTCGCTTGATACGATACTCTCTTGGATGCATTTCCCACGCTTCCGAAGGTGGAGGGTTGCAAGGAAAAGGCGGAAGTCAGGAGGAGGAGGAGGAGGAGGAGGAGGGAGGAAGACGAAGAGAGGAGATAAGGTTGGGGGAGATAGAAAGGAGGAGGACGAGGAAGAGGAGCAGGAGAAGGAGGAGGAGGAGGGAGAAGAGAGAAAGGGGGATGTGGAGGAAGAGCAGAGGCGAAGAAAGAGGAGGAGGAAGGAGAGGAAGGAGGAGGAAGAGGATGAGGTAGGAGCAGGACGGAGGAAGAGGACATGAGGAGTGTGAGACCCGGGAGATAGCAGAGAGGAGGAGGAGGAGAAGGAGGAGGAGGAGGATCAAGGATGGAGAATCAAGGATCGATGAGACCCAAAGCGGCCCTCCCCTGAATGGAAGGCCCGGGGGGCGATCGTCGATCCAGCGGTCGACTCTGCGTCGAGAAGACACACTTGGTACTGGAAGGGTGCACATACTGCAGCAGCGTTGATGAATCCTGGGTTTGCTCGGGTTCTCCTCCTTCTCCTCCTCCTCCTCCTCCTCCTCCTCCTCCTCCTCCACTCCTCCAGCTCCTCCTTCTACTCCTCCTCCTCCTCCTCCTCAACCTTCTCTCTTCTATCTCCCCCCTCCTCATCTCCTTCCTCCTCCTGCTCCTGATCCTGCTCCTGCTCCTGCTCCTCCTCCTCCTCCCTCCCTCTGCTTCTCCTCCTCCCCTTCCTCCCCTCCTGCTCTTCCTCCCCCCCTCCTCCTCCTCCTCTCCTCCTCCTCATCCTCCTCCTCCTCCTCTTCCTCCTCCTCCTCCTCCTCCTCCTCCTCCTCCTCCTGCTCTCTCTTTTCCTCCTCCTCCTCCTCCTGCTCCTCCTTCTCCTCGCCCTCTTCCCTCCCCCGGCCACCATCCCTGCGAAGCGACCGGAGTGCACTATCCGTTTCAGCAGAGAGCAGCAAACCTAGATGACGTGAGATGCTGTTCTTCATTCGTTCCATCCTGGTCTCCCAGTGCGCGGACTCCGCGTAGACTTCTCCCCAGGAAGCATCCCGTGCTCGCCCACGCACTCTGGCACGGCGCCCGCACTGGACAGTGCAAAAGCAAACTGAGGCCAGGCGCTCGTCAAAACTGTATTTCGCTTGGTGGGGGGCATCCCTTCTCGAAAAATGCACCCGCCTCGCGACAAGGATTCCTTGCCTCGGGCATGTGAGCATGGACTCCATAATTAACAGAGTATTAGGTTGGCTGGCGGCGCATTCATGTCTGAATGCCTGCGCCACGCCAAAACTGGGAAAAGACTGCACGCTGGCAGAGACGCGCCATGCCAACGCTGGAAAAGAATGCTCGCGCCAGTGGGTATACGATTGGGATTCAAAGATATCCGCCACCGTGCCTGCACAGTGGGAATGTTAGAGTGATCGTTTGTTGTCTGAGAGGTTCCTCTTTTGTTTTCTAAGGCCTCCCCCCCTCGCCCCGCACATCGTCCTGAGATCGCCCCGCCAGAATTTGCTCCGGAAATCTCTTCGGCCACCAGACGGTCAAGAGAAGAGCACCTACGCAGCGCCCCAGCTTCAAACTAATTACCTTCCCCTTCTGACTACCCACCAAACCACCCCAACCCAACCCGAAGACCCGAATTTGACCCGAATTCCGGGTTGGGGAGGTACGGGTTCCATATGTTTTTTCAGTGTTCTCCGACCCCCCCCAAGCTGGAAAAGGAGGGCAAATTGGGGCCTTCGGGTTGGGTTGGGGTGGGTTGGCGAATGGTGACCTTCCTTGGAGAAAGTGGGGGGGGGCATCCGAAACGATACCCAACCTCCGACCCTTGTGTCGGAATTGTGCTAGCTGGGGGGGGGGGGGGGGGGCCCTACCTGAAGCGGGGGGGGGGCGGCTTGGGAAATACCCCCCCCCCCTCCCCCCTCTTCCGGGCACGGGGTCAGCCCGGGCTCCCCCTTTCAAAGGGAGAGGGGCCTCCCGGCTCTCCCCCCCCCCTTCCCGCGTGGAAAATGGAAAAGGCGAGGGCTTCGGACCCCCCCTCCTTTTTCCGGGCATTCGGTGGCTCCAGGGGGGATCCCAAGCTGCCCCCCCCCTCCCTTGTGAGAAGGGGAAGGGGGGCTTCCCAAGCTGCCCACCCTCCCTCCCCCCTGTTTCTGGGTCTGGGATAAGCCCGGGCTCTCCTTTCAAGAGGGGGCCTTGGAAGCTACCCCCTTCCCTTCTGTGCGATAGAATGGGGTGCGTTGCAGGGGGGCCTTCCATAATAGTTCTTTCCTTTCTGGAGATTCGCTAATACGTTTTTGTCCTCGCACCGAATCGCGCGTTGAATCTGACACCTTCATGCCTGGGAGGGGAAGGGAGGAGGAGGAAAATGGAGGGGAGGAGGAGGAGGAAGAGCAGGAGGAGGAGGAGGAGGAGGAGGAGGAGGAGGAGGAGAGGGAGGAGGAGGACGTGGAGAAGGAAAAAATGATGAGGATAACGACGACGACGACGACGACGACGACGACGACGACGACGACGACGACGACGACGACGACGACGACGACGACGACGACGACGACGACGACGACGACGGCGGCGGGCGGCGGCGGCGGCGGCGGCGGCGGCGGCGGCGGCGGCGGCGGCGGCGGCGGCGGCGGCGGCGGCGGCGGCGGCGGCGGTTTGAGTCCGCCGACCCTTCTGAAACGTTGTGTGTTTCGAGGTTCCCTTGGATTGGGCGGGGGGGCGCGCCTCTGTGCTCGTGCTTGTGAGACACTGGGGATGCCTATTGGGCACTTCGTTGCGGCATCCGCGTGGTTTATCAGGTTTTGTAGGGTGCCTTCTTGCGGCCCCAAAGTCCTTTTGCGGCGTCTTTGAAAATTGGTTTTCGGAGCCCTTTTGGTTTTCGGTGCCTCTTTGGGTTTTCGGCGCCCCTTTGGTTCCCAGCGGCGCTTTCGTGGTCCCCGCGAGGTGCTTGGCCGCACCCCAATTGGCCTGGTCAGCGCCGTGCGCGTAAGCCTCCACCTGCTGCAGCAGCCGCCTTGCGATCACCTCCGAGGAGGCCAACGCGCCCATGTCCAACTGGTCGCGCGTGCCTGAAAATTACGAGCATTCGATCTGCGTCTGCAACTCATGACCTGCGCGGCCCTTCCACGTCACGCCCGATTCCTTGCGCCACTCCTGGAACCAGATCTTCGGCGAGCCTCCGTGACGGCACATCTTGCGACACACATCCAGGCAGGCAGGTGGCCCTCGAATACTTGAGTCCGAACGCACCTCTTGCGCGCTTTCCTGCACAACCTTCCGCCACTCTTTGCACCTGGCCCCCGCCTCGTCGATGTCGATCCAGCAGGTGCGGAGGTCCTCTGGCCCTCCCTCGGGAGGGGCAGGCGCCGGTGCAGGCCCCGGAGGCGGCGCGACGCGCCTCCGACGCTCTCGCCGCCTGGGAACGGCCGCTCTTCGAGGGCCTGCCGCGGGGAGCGGAGCTTGCCGGCAGCCATCAGCACATCATCGCGCCAGTTCTCCAGCGCCCCATCGGTCACGCACTCGATCGGGCACCACTCTCAGCGCGAGCCCCTGTCGATCCCGAACCTGCCGCGCAGGAGGGTGCTGCCGCCGGGCTCGACCTGCAGCCCGAAGTCGGCCTTGCCGCCCTCGCGCAACGAGAGCACCCACACACCAGGCGGCCTCTCCTCTGGCGGCGGCAGCGCCGCCGCGACCGCGTCCGCAGGAGCACCCGCGCCGTCGGCAAGGGGGCAGCGTCGCCCCCGGCCGCCCGCGCCAGGCGCTTCCGGCGCACCCTGCGGCCGGCCTTCGGCGCCTCCACCGCCGTCGTCGGCGGCGCCAGCAGGCGGCCTCCAGCCCAGTAGGCGCCAGGCCCAGCCCACGCGGCGGTAGCGCCGCCGTCCTCGCCGATGGCCGCTGCGCGGCCCCGCTTGATGAGGCTCAGCAGCTCGCCCCTGTGCGGCCCCCTGCTGAAGGCGACCACTTCGCGCGCCCCACGGGGGGAGGCCCTGCTCCCCGTCCACTTCACCACGGACCAGAAGTCCAACATATGCTCAGAATACAAGTGGTTGCCCGCCGCGCCGCATGCATCTTCCAACTCGGGAGGTCGGCCGCGGTCGGCCAGCACAACACGTGCTCATGCGTCCAGCCAGGATTCTGGGAGTACTGCACCCGCACCCCGAAGCCCGACACCGCTTCATCTAGGAGCGCCACCAAGGCACGTGGATGCGCGCCTCCCCCATGGGCTCCAGCACGCGCTCCGCTGCCACTCGATTCTCACACCACGCAGGCGCTGGACTCCGTGCAGAGTTTCGGGCGCATGATGCTGCTGGCCCCCGCGATCACCAAGTGGCTCAAGGGGGGCACGATGAGCCCAGAGGAGGTGGGGGCGACCTGCAGGGCGATGAGCCGCACCAAGTTCTTCGACGCCGACGGAGCTCTGCAGCGCGATGGCGATCGCGCCAGCAGGGCAAAACGGGCACCTCCACGGCCGCGGAGGACACGCGCGCGCGCCCACGCCGCGCATGGCCTCGGGCGAGGCCAGCGTCTGTGCCGGCGGCGCCGGCGGTGCCGGCGGCGCCGGGCAGTGGATCTCCACGACGGACTCTGGGCACGGTACCCAAGTCCAGGCAGTCGAAGGAGTCGAATAGTCCGCCAATTCGTGGCCCGGCCAGCCGCGATGCCAGTCTAGCTCAGGAGCCACCGCGGGCCCGAACAGCAGAAGGGTCGCGAGGCTGGCCCAGAAGGCGAAGATCGCACCTGCTGCGGTGGCCGGAGGATGCGGCTGCATGCCCGTTTCAAGCTTGAGCCCAAACAGCCGTGGAACGGGGGTTCTGGCTGCGAGGGGGGCAACCGATAAAAATACTCATACCAATACCGTGCATCGCGCATCAATCACGCGCTCCGTGGACCCATAGGGAGCCCCAACGAACGCTTCAGCAGCAATGTCCGCAAAGCGCACCCGCTCCCACTACGGCACGCCCCACGCGCATTTCTCCATATGGAAGCTCCACCGATGGCCTCATGCCAGGCTCCGCACGGCATAACCGCCCCCAATGCAGCACACCTTTCACGCGTTCCAGGAGATGCGCGCCAGTCCGTCATTTAGTTCGCCTCCCTCCTTCTTCTCACTCGCCTCGCGGTTCTCGTAGTTTCACACGTCTTGGCCATTCGCCAGGATCATGTTCCAATAGTGCTGCACGGGCTTCAATTATTTTGAGGTTCTCACCTGCTTGAGTCCTGACGAGCCAGAGACGCCCCCAAGATGGGCTCCGAAAGCGTCAGACGGGCCAAGAGCCCCAAAGAAGGCCAAAAAAAACCCAACAGCTCCCAAGAGGCCCCTGAAGGCCCCCAAGAGGTCCTCCAAGAGGCCCGCAGGACGCTCCCCGGAGGCCCCTAGGATGCTCCACGAGAGCCCCAAGAGGTCTCGGCCTCCTCCTCGTCCTCATTCTTCTCCCTCTCCTCCTCCTCCTCCTCCTCCTCCTCCTCCTCCTTCTCCTCTTCCTCCTCCTCCTCCGCCGCCGCCGCCGCCTCCACCTCCACCTCGGCTTCGGCCTTGGCCTCGGCCTCCGCCTCCGCCTCGGCCTCCGCCTCCGCCTCCGCCTCCGCCTCTGCCTCCGCCTCCGCCTCCTTCTTCTCCGCGTCCTCCTCCTCTTTTTCTGTTTCTTCTCATTATTCACACTCTTCTTAGTATTGCTACACATATAAACATATCAGTATGAGTAGCACTAGTATCCTTAGTGTTAGTAGTTGCTTCTAGTATTCGTACTACGAGTATGATTATTGCAAGTAGTCTTCAGAGTTTGCAATACTACTGGTAGTATCAGTATTGCTCGTACTCTTAGTCATATGCTTGTTATTGTTAGTCTTAATAATAGTAATGCTATTCTTCGCGTTCCCACTACTACTATGATTATTCGTAATCGTATTACTACTGTCATTCGTATTATTAATCTTGCGATCGGCACGAATATTATTATTCGAATTAGTCATTTTGTTATCATTGGCCGTATTAGTACTAGTATGATTGATTTTCTTATGACTACTCTTCTTTATTCACAGTATCATTCATATTAGTATTAGCCTGTTTCTCTTTTTCGTAATATTATCGTTGTGAGTACGAATCATATTTGTATTATTCCTCCTCTTCTTCCTCCTCCTCCTCCTCCTGCTCCTCCTCCTCCCGCTCCTCCTTTTCCTCCTCCTCCTCCTCCTGTCCTCGTCCTCGTCCTCATCCTCCTCCTCCTCCTCCTCCTCCTCAATGCCGCGCGGACCAAGACGAGGTCGGGATCACAGCCCTCACCAATTCAGACTACTCGCTGAATTTCCGCGGGGCGTGAACTCGACCTCGGTCCGACCACGCGGACGACGAAGGCGAGGTCGAGTTCACCACCCGTCCCAGCTCAGACCGCTCGTCGGAATTGCGCTGTTCCTACACTCAGCCTCTCCTTCCTGCCGCGCTGTTGCACATGCACTGTGGCGGGGTTTGCCGCAGGCAGCTGGATATTATTGAGAAGTAAATTGGCTGAAAAAATGGGTTACCTGTTGCACCCGTATCCGCACCCAGCGTTTGCACGCCGGCGCCCGAAGCTCACTCGCGGCGGGCCCTGCGCCGAAGGCGCTCGTAGTTTAGCCACAGGCCGTCCCGGTCGATGTAGCAGCCCTGCACCCAGCGGTCTCCATCACTGGGGCGGATTTCACTGCGAGCATGCAACAATCGCTGGTTGTCGAAGACGAGGCAATCACCAGGCTCGAGCTGCATCGTGCAGATGTGCGTCTTGTCGTGCGCCAGCTGCGAGAACCGGCGCCTGGCACGGTAGAAGGCCTCGAGGGTCTCCGAGTCCAGCGGAGGGGCGTACTGGCCGCTCTTCGCCGAGAACCGCAGCGCACGGATGGTGCACTCGTCGTGTTGAGAGACGTCGCTGCTGAGCTCGATGTGCGGGGCGGTGTGCAGCAGGGCCGAGTCGTTGTCCCCGCCGTTGTTCTCGAAGCGCACGGGCACCTCGGTCAGCAGGCGGAAGCTGTCCGGGCTCTCCTTCCGGAGCTTCTCTGCGACGTAGAACCTTAGGAGGCAACTCCTGGGAGGTCTTCGCCAGGTCGATCAGGGGCCGCTGCTTCAGCCCGGTGGAGGGGCCACTGAGCCGAATCAGGCTGGAATAAAGCCAGACTCAGCGGAATTAACACTGATCGAGCGAGACGAGGCTGGTTTTTGACCAGGGATATACCAGCGCCGATGCTGCCTCAAACCTCCAGGAGTTGCATTAAGTCGGGCGTGTCCCCTACAGGGTGATTTTCTACGAAGAATAATCATTTCCGTAAAATACCCCAAAATGGTCAAAACATGCTCCAACAATAGTGCCCAGACTATCTTTTGACCATTTTTGAATATTCCCCCTGTAGAGGGACAGGCCTGACTTAAGAGTTGCATCCCGAAGAGCCTTAAACTGACTACCTACCAGACCACCCCACCCCAACCCGAAGACCCGAATTTCCTGTTGGCGGTGGTATGGGTTCCGTACGTTCCCTACCTAGGCTCTGCCTAGAAGGGTTCTTACTGGCTTGGCTTAAAGGGGCCGGGCAGTGGAAAACGGCCCGGGCGGTTCCCCCGGCATCCGCCCCGCGGTTCCCCCAGTTACGTCCCCTTAGCTTAGCGTTGCTTATATCATCTTAGCTTAGCTTAGTTCATCTTAACTTAGCTTAGCTTAATCTTAGCTCAGGTTTATCTTAGCTTAGCTTACCTTCATCTTAGCTTCGCCGAGCTTTAGCATAGCAGAGCACAGCAGAGCAGAGCATAGCGCAGCACAGCATTTCATAGCATAGCCCAGCATAGCATAGCATAGCGCAGCATAGCATAGCATAGCACAGCGCAGCACAGCACAGCATAGCACAGCGCAGCATAGCATAGCATAGCATAGCATAGCAGAGCAGAGCATAGCACAGCAGCAAAGCAAAGGCAACACAACAGCAGCGACAGCAAAGCAAAGCATTATCATGGTTGTAATTCTCTACCTAGGCTCTGCCTAGAGGGTTAGCTTAGCTTAGCATATCTTAACTTAGCATAGCGCAGCGCTGCATTAGCATAGCATAGCATAGCATACCATAGCCAAACATAGCATAACATAGCATATCATAACGCATCATATCATAACATATCATAACACAGCATAGCGCAGCTTAGCAGAACATATCACAGCATAGCTTAGCATAACACATCATGACATTTCATAGCTTAACATAACATATCATAGCATATCATAGCATACCATAGCATAGCGCAGCATAGCGCAGCATATCATAACATAGCATAGCATAGCGCAGCATAGCATGGCATAGCATATCATAGCAACTAATGCTGCTTTCCTAGGGGCTCCAACTTTTAGGTAGGGTCGCACTGGGATAATGCTTTTTCAATGTTCCCCGACCTCCCCCCCCACTGGAAATGGAGGGCAAATGGAGGCCTTCGGGTTGGGTTGGGGTGGCTTAGTGGGTGGCGATAAACCTCCCAGGAGTTGCATCCCGAGGAGCCCGTCGACCAGGTAGTTCAGCACGGAGCAGCCCTCGCAAGGGGCCGCGCCCGCGGGGCAGCTGCAGTGCTCGAGCGCGTGGAGGAGCTGGAATTAAGTCGGGCGTGTCCCCTTACAGGATGATTTTCGACGAAAAACAACAAATACTCCAAAAAGACTCCCAAATGGTCAAGAAATGCTCAAAAAATAGTCCCCATATTATTTTTTGACTACTTTTGAATATTCCCCCTGTAGAGGGACAGGCCCGACTTAAAGCTGGAAGTCTGGGGCCCGATCGCGATACGGGTTGTCCGTGTGGAAGCCGATCGGGCGCGGGGTGTAGGCCAGGTCAAACTTCGGCCCTCCTTGCGGCCGAATATGTCCATACCACCGCCTGCCGAGGCTCCGAAAACTGACCCTCCAGGCGGTGGATATGGATAAATTCCGGCCTCGGACTCCTGCCTCTGCGCTGGTGTCTGGCACGGTGCGCACGTTGAAGAAGGAGCCCCAGTTCGTGGTCCGCAGCGTGCTGAGCGTCTGCCCGAACCTGCAGACCTCCCCCTCTCGACGCGGGACGCCCTTAACGAGCGCTGCGCCAGACGTCAGAAGGCCCTTGATCAGCCTAAGCCGCTCGCCCTCGTCACCGTCCTCAAGCACTTCGTCGTGCTGGAAGACGGGCAACTCGTAGGCGTCGCCGGACCAAAGCACGGGGCTCGGGCGATCGTACTCGTTGACCTGGATGGGGTTGCGGTCGAAGCTTCGCAGCTCAGACTGCACACGCGGCAAGAAAAACTGTGAATGGTGGCCGTCGCTGAACACCACGTCGAGCTGCGAGTTGCCGTGCAGCTTTGCGTCGACCATCGAGAGGCACTCTGGCAGATCGTGGGGGTTGGCCAACGGCTGCCTCGTCTGGGAATCCACCGCGGCGCTGGACAAGCAACGCTCGCGCAGCCAGTTGGCGTTCAGCTCGGACCTGGTCCCGTCCTGCCACTGGATGTGCAGCAGCGCCGGAAACACCTCGACCGACTCGGCGCCGGACGCGTGCTGGACAGACACCCTGGAATCGGTGTTTGTATGATTCGCGATAACGCCCGTGACTGGCCCCGACCCCCCCTCCCACCCCCTGGTCACGTCACGATTCGCGCCAGCTTCATGTAGGAATTAGCCTGTCCTGAGCAGCACTAGACTGCGCCGGCGCGAATCGTGACATGACCAGCCCCCTCCTCACTTCCCCCTCCCTCCCGGCCACGCCCGTTATCGCCAAGGGATAATTATGCTGGCGAAGAAGCCAACCTTTTGCACTTGTGAATATGGTCGTTGTGGGTATCGCCTTCGGTGGATCTCCTTATGGGGCCACGAAGCGTGTGAAGGGTGTGCCGAAATGGGGCGGGGCCGCCATGCGGGCGCTGCCACTGGGGCCTTCGGTGGACCTTCCCATGGGGGCACGAAGCGTGTGAGGGGTGTGCCGAAACGGGCGTGACGCCCACATGCAAGCTGCGCCACTGGGGCCTCAGCTGGGTTGCGCGCCGATCTCCTCGCCACGTCAGGGTTGCGCGCCGATCTCCTCGCCGCGTCGGCCGCTTCGTCAAGCGCAGCGACGGAGCGGTACGAGGAGTTCAAAAGGCAGCACCAGGACACCGCGCGGCTCTGCGCGGCACAGGGCTTCACTTTCCTCCCCATGGTGGTGGAAGCCCACGGCGGCGGGTGGGGCCGCGAGGCACGCAGGGCCTTCGGGGTCCTGGCCAAGCGGGTGGCAGACGCCACGGGGGAAGACGCCGCACTGGTTGCGGACCAACATGCCCAGCGACTTTCCGTCTCCCTGCACAGGGAGAACGCGCGGGCGGTGTTGCGGCGCCTTCAGACCCTGTCTGGAGGGGCGGGGGTGGCAGCGGCCCGCCTGGCCGCGGCCACGGCGGCCTCCACGGCAGACGCCGTGTGAGGTGCCCCCTGCGCTGCCTAGCGCCCCCCGCCCCCCCCCCCGCCCTTGCTGGGCAGCGCGGGCGCCCCCCTCGCCCTTTCGCCAACGTCGCGCCGGCGACCCCTCCCACGCGCCGCCCGGCCTTTCCCCGGCGGGGCGGTGGATGGATCCCGCAGAGGGCAATCCCCACCAAGCCGCATCGCGCTGGGTTCGGGCGGCCACCCCGCCCAGGTCGCCGCCGTAGGGTCCGCGGCCTCGTCGCGGGCGGCTCTTCTCTCCCGGCCCCTGGCCCGGCCTGTCTGCTTGCGGCCGCTGCTTTCTGTCCTCCTTGTCCTCCTCCCCCTCCTCCCCCTCCCTTCGCTTCTGCTCGTTGCTTCCCTCCCTTTCCTTTCCTCCTGCTCCCTGCCTGCTGTCTCTGCCTGGCCCGTCTTCTGCCTGCCCGCCCGCCCCGCCGGCCCTGGCCTCCCGCCTGGGCGTTCGTCGTCGTTTGCCTGCTTCTCCCCTCCTCGTCCCCTTCCGCCGGACAGCACAGCCTGCCCGGAACCAGCGTGGCGGCATATAGGAGCCTGACGCTGAGGGCTCGAGAGGCGAGCCTCGCCTCGGGCCTGCTACGGACCAGGGCCGCCGCCTTCTCAAGCATTGCTGGTGACCACGTGCCCTTGAATGCGCGGTGCTCGGGTAGCTCACTAGGTCTGGGCGAGTAGGCGTGGAGACAGTGCGGGGATTTACCCCGGTCCGCTTTTGTCCAGAGCCGGGTGTCCACTATGGGGCCACGAAGCGTGCGAGGGGTGTGCCACAATGGTTGACATACGGAGGGCCGAGGCAGGGATTGGAGGAGGGAAGAGGCGGGAGGAAGGAAGGAGGTGGGACACGGGGCGCCGTCTATTCAAAACGAGGACCCAACACCAAAGGATGGTTGGGAGCTGAAGCGATAGGTGGACCTATACGGCTGCGCAGGCTAACATTAAGTCGGGCACGTCCCTCTACAGGAGGAAAATGCAAAAATCGTCAAAAAATGATCTCGAGACTATGCTTCTACTATTTGCTGCTGCTTTTGAACATTTTTGAATATCTTTCATTTTTCGTCCAAAACCCGCCTGTAGGAGGACTTGCCCGACTTGAGGCTTACAGAGCCTGTGGCGGCTCTCTTGAGCGGAGGGCAGGAGGCAGGGGTAACGGTGAGAGGAGGGAGGAGGGAGGGGGGCAGCGGGCAGAGTTGAAGGGGCCCTGGGACACACAAATAATTATACACAAACAACCAGATTCCCCATCTTTTCCCATACTTTCTGGGCTTTTGCCTTCCCCCCCACGTCCCCTGTTCTCCCACATTTTCTGGGGGGACCGATTCATTGTGTCTCTGCGTGTTTTTGTTCCCTCCTGAGGACTGGATACATCGCGGGGCGCTCTCTGCAGACCCCCGGGACCCCACACCACAAGACGGCTGACGTCTGGACACACAAACCGGCTCCTGCGAGCGGCGCCGGACCCGAGCTGCGCGCGCGAGGGGCCATGCAGCCCCGCGGGGCGGGCGGCAGCGGCGGAACACCGGCGGAGCAGCGGCAGCATCGCGCCGCGCCGCCTGCGGCCGGAAAGCCAGCGCGGGCCGGGCTGGGCGGGGATCTGCACGCAGCGGGTGTCAGTGGGCGGATTCTGGGATTCCCGAACCCAAAAACGCCTTCATCTCTTGTTTTTTGCTTCTGCTTTTTAAATTGGTGAACCAGTCCTCGCTGGGTTTGCTTCGTTCCTTGTCGAAGGCGGTCGTCTGTGGCGACGAGCAGTACGGCTCTCGCCCTGGCGGCGGGGCTGCGTCTTGGGGGCGCATATTTTGCTCCCGCCGCCTTCCGCCGGCCATTCTGCAGGCCTCCCGCCGGCTTCCGCCGGCGGCGGCGGCCTCGTTTTACTTCCGCCGACCTTCCGGCGCCCTTCCGCCGAGGAAGAGATGACATCTCTTTCTACAGTCGGACAACATTGGACAGGACACGCGGGAGGACACAACACCCTTCCGAGGGCCACACTGCCACAGGAGTGCAGGAGGCACGGGTCGCGAGACACAGGACACAAGGGCACCCTTGATTTGACAGGATCGACCTACTCATCCGGGCCGACTATATCCTCGAAGGCAAGGCCTTTTTGTGGAACGCCCCAGTTGGGTTCGGACGGTCCCTGTGCGGACGATGTGCGGCCTGCCAAAAAGCCTTGAGCCAAACGGCTTCAGTCAAAATGGCGACCGCTGAGTGACATGCTGCTCTGGCCACGCCAGAGTCCCGAATTCCCG